CACATGAATATATTTTATCCACAATTAAAACACTAAGAATATTTCCTGTTGAAACATAAAATACACCCTGTAATCCTGTCTCAAACTCTAGTTTACTTTCGTGACAAAAAACATTTTATCTAGAAGCTTTTGTCAATTTACAGTTACCAGTATTTTCCAGTATTCGGCTGTGAAAATAACTAGGATATTTATTCTGGGCAAACTTCTTTTTTTAGGGAGCTTAGCATTCATTTACCCACAAATGTCATTAGTTTGGTGTAAATATATTGAGCAGTATTGTCATCCCGACAGTCATCTTATTTCACTTCTTTATTTCTCTGTACCTTTACTTCTTCACACACATATTTCCCAGTATTCTTTTAAATTAATTTACGGACAAGGTGTTACTAGGACTCAGGACACAACTAAAATTTAGCTATTTCCAATGCAGAAGAAAAGCTCTGCTTACCTTATTTTGGGCCCGTGTCCTTTGTCTGTTCACACCAGGTCCTTGTGTCCAATGGTTCTATTGATCAACTCTCTGTTTTTTCTTGGAATCCCGGACGAGCCCCCAAAGTTGTTGTGGTAAGGTTTTACCACCCCGGATTCGTTGATCAAGAACTTTCACAAAGTATAAAGAAAAGACAAAAGTCGTTGCTCGAGTTCGCCTGTGCACAGGGAGGGTCCAGCGGAGAGTCAGGGGGTTGACTGCTGAATCCTGCTCTCTCCACCAACTCAGGCTTGTTTTATTGACACACATCCAGGTGGTACATCTCAAGCGATACAGACTTCATTTGTTCTACACACAGACATACATTCTTTTTGGCAACTGCATCTACACCGTTAGTTTCTCATCCTGTTCTTATCGTGCCCAGGTGCTGTTGTTGGGACCTTGTGTTCTAACTATGAATCCAGCCATTGTCAAATTGTATTCTAAAAGTTTCTGTTTCCCATCACACCAAGTACTCCTCTTTTCACAACAAACCTTGGTTTTATCTCAACCTCGCAGCTCCTTCTCTACATCTGCATGTTTTCAGTTCTAGCTTTAAGCAGCATTTTATGTTCAAGCTGGTTATATGTTTTAGCACATCTCTTATGATCTTTTTAAAACATGATTATATATGTTGCATACTTCTATAAACTATGAACACATGAATATATTTTATCCACAATTAAAACACTAAGAATATTTCCTGTTGAAACATAAAATACACCCTGTAATCCTGTCTCAAACTCTAGTTTACTTTCGTGACAAAAAACATTTTATCTAGAAGCTTTTGTCAATTTACAGTTACCAGTATTTTCCAGTATTCGGCTGTGAAAATAACTAGGATATTTATTCTGGGCAAACTTCTTTTTTTAGGGAGCTTAGCATTCATTTACCCACAAATGTCATTAGTTTGGTGTAAATATATTGAGCAGTATTGTCATCCCGACAGTCAGTGGCAGGAGTGAGTCGCTGAGCAGGAAACCTAGCATCAGTGACACTTAAATAGAAGGAGATTTAATTCAGCCATTACGGTGACTGAGGCAGCGAGCTGGAGACAGGTCAATAACCAACCGACAACATGCTGCCTGCGAGAGTAGCTGCAGCCTTGGCCAGGACCATGCCCAGGAGGGCTGTATTTGTGAGCATTTATGTAAACATTATATACAAAACATAAAATATAATTTGTTTTGCCTGCTCTCAGTGTAAAGCCTTAGGACGTGAAGGGTAATGTTGTCGTCGTCGCAGGCCGCTAGCTAACCTTACATACACGAATGGATGTGGTTTTACCTGCACCCGTAACCAGTAATATTTTATCATTAAAAAAAGTTACAATCGGTAGCTTAAACGCTCATTGACGTTTCGTAGCAGTAGCCTCTGCTGCGCAGCAAGGTGCGTTTAACGTCGCAAGTATGCTAATGTTAGCTTTATGTTAACGGTCCATTCAGCCACGCTTTGAAGGTCAGGAAGCCTGACAGCGCATGTCCTCTCCGCCGCACACTGTCACTGCAATGTGACTTATACTGTAGCACTTTAAACACTCCCGATTTAAAGTTAATGGCTGATTTGATGTTTTATTGTCTTCATTTCTCCACTAAACGCGTCGGTTTTATTAATTCTAGGTTTCCAAGGCTGTACCGCCCCCCTGCGTTGGGGTCAACCACATCCATACACACAGATCATGGCTGCAGAAGACAGGTGAGAAAAGCAACAACATTAGGACATGCATTCTAACATTTAACCAGCTACAACTACTTAACGTGATTATTTAAAATGGAGGACCAGACTATGCTTCCAAAAGATTTCCTTAAGCTATTGTGTGCTTTGTGTATCACCTAGAAATATGACCATATCGATTGACTTTCTAATTATATACCTGGTTTGTGATTCTGATGAAAACGTCCAGTAAGACATGTTGCTTTGTGTCATTAATATTGCATCCTTTGCAAACAAAGTTCAAAAGGATGACAATGAAAATAATCGAAAGGTGGAGCAGAATCGTTATACTTTTTTATTTGAAAAAGCATTGGTCGTCATTTTATTAAATATAGGGTGTCGTGGTAAGGTTTTACCACCCCGGACTCGTTGATCAACTTCGACACTATCAAGAAGAACTTTCACAAAGTATAAAGAAAAGACAAAAGTCGTTGCTCGAGTTCACCTGTTTACAGGGAGGATCCAGCGGCGAGTCAGAGGATCGACTGCTGAATTCTGCTCTCTCCACAAACTCAGGCTCGTTTTATTGACACACATATCCAGGGGTGGTACATATCAAGTGATACAGACTTCATTTGTTCTACATACACACACATTCTTTTTGGCAACTACATCTACACCGTTGGTTTCTCATCCCGTTCTTATCGCACCCAGCTGCTGTTGTGACCTTGTGTTCTAACTATGAATCCAGCCATTGTCAAATTGTATTCTAAAAGTTTCTGTTTCCCATCACACCAAGTACTCCTCTTTTCACAACAAACCTTGGTTTTAACTCAATCTCACAGCTCCTTTTCTCTACATCTGCATGTTTTCAGTTTTAGCTTTAAGCAGCATTTTATGTTCAAGCTGGTTATATGTTTTAGCACACCTTTATAATTCCTTAAACATGAATATATATATCAAGCTGGTTATGTTTTATCCACAAGGGAGAGATGGATTTGCATTGAATGATGACTCACTCTACTTGTATTTTGCCATTGTGCTTTTACAGTAATGTGCATTAAGCTCCTAAGGACCCTGAAAGACAGATAATACCTTTCTGAATATTAAACTGATCATTTTGATCACTTAATTGTACTTTTATATAAGTTTGTTCGATTTTTGTTGGTGAACTTTGGTTTAAGGTAACCAATATCAAACAAGTCATTTAAGAGTCAAAATTACTTTACTAGGCAATTAGTTATTGATTACTAATTGTTAGTACACTAATAACCTGATCCTAATGTATTGAGTAAATGCCATTTTAGATGGCATGCAAAAAAAGCACATCTAAGGCTTAAGAGCTGATTTAATTTTGTTTTATGTAACTCACCCAAACAACTAACAAGTGCATTATTATGCACATAATACATTGCATTTCAAATGTGCATACCTTTTAATATCATAATTTATTTTACTGAAAACTAAAGCAGATCATAGATTTGATTTTTTGTTATAAACCTTTACTTGTAATAAAAAAGCAATAGTGTTTCCTTTTTCTTCACTTATTTTACATTGGAGACCTAATTACACTAGAAGTTTCCACATCAAAACACTCTTCTCTTTGACAGGCACAGCTGAGGTGTCTTCCATCCTGGAAGAGAAGATCATGGGGGCCGACACCTCTGCTGACCTGGAGGAGACTGGACGTGTGCTGTCCATTGGTGATGGTATTGCCAGAGTGTACGGGCTTAGGAATGTCCAGGCAGAGGAGATGGTGGAATTCTCCTCTGGTCTAAAGGTTTGTCTAAAATACACATTAAGCATTTCTGATAATCAACATTATTTCCCTGTTATTTCAAAGAGGTGGTGAGTTCTAACTAAAGTTGTATTTGTGGCTGTGTCCAGGGTATGTCTCTAAACTTGGAGCCTGACAATGTTGGTGTTGTGGTGTTTGGTAATGACAAATTAATCAAGGAGGGAGACGTCGTGAAGAGAACTGGTGCCATTGTTGATGTTCCTGTGGGTGAGGAGCTGCTGGGCCGCGTTGTGGACGCTCTGGGAAATGCCATTGATGGAAAGGTCATTTGAGAGATCCATTTCTCCTTGACTTCTGATTGGTTGTGGACACAGGCATTGAACTATTTCAAAGCTACTGTTTGCCATTTAGTTTAAGGCAAATGGTTGGATTTAAACCAACAATCTTCATTGTGTAAGATAAACCTCGAACCCACTTCAGTTTTAGAAAGTGGTTAATGTTAAATAGTGCTGCACAGTGGATGCATTATTTTTTATATTGATGTTTATTCTGAATAAAGATTTTAAAATAGAACAGTGGCACAAGCTTAAAATAGCAACCCGCTGCAATAAAGTCAGACCTTACTCTGCTGAAGGAATTGTCCTGATGGAATCATTAATATAATTGGAACATAATATTATTAAGGTGGGGGGTGAAGGGCCTTTAGTATCATGTATAATAGCATGAAGCATGTTAAATGTGTTAAGAGACTAAAATTCCCCCCCCCCCCCCCCCCCCC